CGTGTCTTTAGTTTATGGGCGTGCGTTTAGTTTATGGGCGTGCGTTGAGATTCTGGGAGTGCCTTAAGTTTATGTGTGTGGTTTTAGTATATGTGTGTGCCTTTAGTTTCTGGGCGTGCCTTTAGTTTCTGGACGTGACTCTAGTTCTGTTTAGTTCTGGCATGCGTTTAGTTTCTTGGCGTGACTTTAGTTCTGTTTAGTTCTTGGGGTGCCTTTAGTTTATTGGCTTGACTTTAGTTCTGTTTAGTTCGGGGGGGGGGGGGGGGGGCTGCGTTTTGTTTCTATGCGTGACTTTAGTTCTGTTTAGTTTCTTGGTGTGACTTTAGCTCTGTTTAGTTCTTGGGGTGTCTTTAGTTTATGGGCGTGCGTTTAGTTTATGGGCGTGCGTTGAGATTCTGGGAGTGCCTTAAGTTTATGTGTGTGGTTTTAGTTTATGTGTGTGCCTTTAGTTTCTAGGCGTGCCTTTAGTTTCTGGACGTGACTCTAGTTCTGTTTAGTTCTGGCATGCGTTTAGTTTCTTGGCGTGACTTTAGTTTATTGGCTTGACTTTAGTTCTGTTTAGTTCGGGGGGGGGGGGGGGGGGGGGGGCTGCGTTTTGTTTCTATGCGTGACTTTAGTTCTGTTTAGTTTCTTGGTGTGACTTAAGCTCTGTTTAGTTCTTGGGGTGCCTTTAGTTTATTGGCGTGACTTTAGTTGTGGGGTGCATTTAGTTTCTTTGCGTGATTTTATTTATGGGATGCGTTTAGTTTCTTGGCGTGACTTTATTTCTGGTTAGTTCTGGGGGTGCGTTTAGTTTCTTGGCGTGACTTTATTTCTGGTTAGTTCTGGGGGTGCGTTTAGTTTCTTGGCGTGACTTTATTTCTGGTTAGTTCTAGGGGTGCAGTGAATTTCTTGGCGTGACTTTAGTTCTGTTTAGTTCTGGGGGGTGCGTTTAGTTTCTTGACGTGACTTAAGTTCTGGAGATGCGTTGAGTTTCTTGGCTTGACTTTAGTTCTGGTTAGTTCTGCGGGGTGTGTTTAGTTTCTTGGCGTGACTTTAGTTCTGTTTAGTTCGGCGGGGGGGGGGGGTGCGTTTAGTTTCTGGGTCTGACTTTAGTTCTGGTTAGTTCTGGTGTGCGTTTATTTTCTAGGCGGGACTTTATTCTGTTTAGTTCTGGGAGTGAGTTCAGTTTCTGGGTGTGACTTTAGATAAATTTGCTATGAGTGTCCCTTTAGTTTCTGCGACAATGAAGGCGGATCTGACATATGGGGGATCTGACATATTAAGTATCAATCCTCATTAGATTGGTGATGTTCACTATCATCGCGCCGGTCTCCCCGTAACAATCAGTTCGGGCAGCTTCTTGAATGTTTACCATACCATTGTATGAATCGCTGTCTACTTCTTGTTCTCTTGTTCTCCAGAATTTGTTTTTGAAAGCGTATTATGTCTTTTAATGTTGTTAGAGTATATCAAATGTCTCTCTGTCTTTTATTTCTTTCAGTAATTCTATTTGCACTCGTAATCTTTCACTGGTACACGAAAACTGGGACGGTAAACGAGGCGGAAGAATTTATAAAGATCAACGCTTGTAGCGCGAAACAGTAGAGTGCATGGCACACACGAGGCGTGTTCACTAAACATGAGAGAACATGGCTGGTCATCCTGGAAGAGACTGGGACCTTACCATGTAAGACCCTAAAGTTGGCAATGGAATTACAAAGAATGATAAGGATTAGAACGCAAAAAGAAAAACAAAACAGGTCCTAATTTTTAGGGCAGGTTTCCTTTCTGTAACAACACACGGGTTTGAGTCGTGGACTTCTGCCTAATAAAGGTTACAGGGGCATTTGAGCTGATATGCTATAGACAGATTTTCAGAAAACCAGAGACTACGAAGAAAAGAAAAGAAAGACTGACACCCTAAAAGATCTGAAGGTCAAGAAGGATTGGGTAGTAAAACAACATCCTGTCTCGAAAGTTGAAATATTTTGGCCATATCTGTCAGGGTTCGCCCTGTTATGGGACAGTTCAGGATGATGATGATGAATCTCGTCATCGTACCCTGCGACCCTTAGTGACACTCAGTACGTGCATACACACGTAGAAACGAGCATGAGCGAAACGTAGCTTGGTCATTGACCAGCGGACTTCGCACCGGTGTGCACATTTTGGACCGGACGCTGAACGCTTGCTTGGGGGACGGCTATGAAACTGGACGTGGGACGAGAGTGGAGATTTTAGTGACCGTTTGTTTTGACTTGTAGAAAGGTACCAGTGTAGTTATTAGCTGTAACGCGTTTTGTTCGTTGTGTCATTAAATGTATTTCCTTCGTTACAGAGTGTCATGTACGGTAGTAGCTAGACTGTGTCAGTAGTTGTAACTAGAAGCCAGACCATGCTTTGTTGGTGGCGTTAACACTGTCGACGCACTTAGGCCTACACGTTGGCGTATGCCATAACGTCTTTGGCATCGAGAGATAGCGGGTTGAGCTGGCACTGTACTGGAGAGTGGTAGCGGCTCAGAGCTTATTTCACGAACGTGTAAAGGCGCCTCTAAGCGATTTTAAAGTTAGACGCGGCCTGGTTTTAGAATAAGGAGCGTTACTCCTCCTGAGGTGTACCACCACTTCGTTTACATCTTTGGTAATAAAGATTGTGTGTGTGTTGCAACAAGTGTTTGGCTTGAGTGTGTTTGTACGGTGTTTTCCTGTCATTAGCCTATAGCAGAGCCAATAGAATCGAACCCTAGACAGTAAGGTTTCTGACAATATCAAGTGCCCAGGCTGACTGAAAACAACAGTAGCAAACGACAGGTACCAGAAAAGAGGATCAGCATGAAGGTGGGCGTAGGATTTCTTACTATTCTTCTTGTTGGCGTTCAACGAGTGAAAACTCCAGCGGATTTCTTCTTTTTCTTGTTGTTCGTTGACTTCTGGTCTTTAGTCCTTTTATAGAACCTGAATATTGCGTGCACATCCGTTTTACTTATCGGATTGTTATCAATGGAGACATTTAATTCCATGTCTGTCAGTCAGATGCACTCCGACTTTAGAAGCGAACCCCATAATAAGTTAACTTTTACGACATGCTTGTTCTAAGATGGGGGGGGGGGGGAGGGGCATAGTGGTACTTTGGGAAAGAAAGTGCAGGAAGCGGGAGATTTGGCGAGAGACCGGGTTTCTTTCAGGCAGTTTTACAAAGGACCTGCTACATGGTGATGATGTCATAGTATGATAACATCGTGTGTTGCTGGTGATCGTCTGATGAGATCCATCCAGATCTGTCTGTCAGATGGACTGGCCTTGATGTTAACACCTGATACCCGTCCAGTCAGCCACATCGCAAGTAAAGTGAAAGACCCCTGTTAAAGTAACGTTCATCTCCCCACGTCCTGCCCATATACATACTTTAAATAAACAGAGGGGGTACCTTTGAGGCCGTTAAATATTACGAATTAATCAAGTAACATAATGTGTATTGATCGGCACTCATAGAAAGAACCTTCTTATCAAATACCGTTCTTAAATGTTGGTGTATTCTAGACAAAGCATTAAGGTCTACCGTGTTCGTAAATTGTTGCTGTGATTGTTATTCGACATATGCTTCGTAATAGAAATTTATGTAACCTATGGTGCCATTTCAATGGTTTGAAATGAATTATGTCGGTATTCCATAGTTGTGGATTTCAAGCTGTAAGATAGACATGGCCAGTAAGACTCCTTGGGGGGTGGGGGGCGATGGGGAGGGGGTGCCTAGTTGACCATGTTCTTAGTGCACTAGTATCCATGCTGAGGCGCAGACGCCGACTGGAGGTGACAGGTTCAATTCCTGGCACGGTAACTATAGCTTTCGATTTTTATGTTGTCTATTGTGTTCTTCTATCTTTCTTCTTCTTTCTATGAGTGAGTGCCGATCAATAAACTTTATGTTATTTGATTAATCCATATACGTACTAGCTTACTTCTGATTGGTACTTGGTACTACTCTTTTTGGGGAGATTAACGTGAACCTAACCAAGACCATTTTCCACGCCTTTAGGAGTGTCGGGCATATAAGGGTAGACCTATATTTTATAGACCAATCGGTACTCAGAGGATGATGTGATCAAAATCACGCCGACCGCCTTTACCACCCAGGATTTTACCTGGTACTCAATAAGGTTGGGTCGACCTGGGAGCTAAGGTTATTTAGGGAAAATGTCCAGTCTCCGTCAGTTTTTAAAGGGGTAGAAAATTATAGGGAAGAGAAAAAGTTGGTAAGAAAGAACAAACAGTTTATGTTAGCTTTACAAAATCGATCACACAAAACAAAGGTCGTTGCGGCGATCAACCTTCATCAGCACATAAAGAACAACACAGTACACATACACAAATATTCTCTAACTATGAAGCGACTACATAGGACTCTAATGTACACAATAAATGATACTCATCTGTGTCCCTGGCGAAAAACTTCGTTCAAGCGGTTTCTGTCAGGAGCCTTCCAATTCGCAAGCGAGAGATTAGTCCCTATAACACGGCGGTTCCCTAGCCACATTGTGGATCCAGGTCTTTCTTCGTCTGCCTCTTCTCCCCTTTCCATGAGGGGTCTCTGTGGCAAAGTGGTCAAGCCGTTTGCCTCACGCTCTGAAGGTCGTGGGTTTGTTTCTCGTTCAGTTAATGAGTGCAGTTTTTACGAAGATCCGTGTGGATCGTCACCGGAGCTACGGAAGTTGAGCTCTGTGCGTCTCTCTTGGCAGGCAGCTAGCTGTTCTTGAAGAAAGACTGAGCTATATGGGATAAAACCCGGTGCAATATAATCCATCTTCTCATCTTTACCTTTACCATTTCCTTGGAACTTAGCAGTTTGATATTTACTCTTGTGATTTGTGTTCTTTGACAGAGAGCAGCCACTGAGGATTATGATCATCTTAAATTCTAGATAAGGCTGTGACAGTTTGTGCAACACTTCAGCTAGTATTTTCATGTCTCGCATGCTTGAGCTCAACTAGCCGGATAGTGCCTCGATGTTTCGGAGCAATGGGGAATCCTATGTTTTCTCTGCCGGTGATTATCATAGTGTGTCACGTAATTAGCTGTCACATCGGAATAACTTCAACTGCGAGACTGAAAGAAACATCGTTAGACCAGGCCTCCGCCTCCTCGGGTTTCCATGAAGACTTGTCGAGTTATGTCAACTCGGTTACTTCCAGTGGTACAGGAGTGGGGACAGCAGAACATAATAATGGTAAATCCACGTACAAAACTAGCGTCAGTGTCAAAGGAAACCTCATCAGGATAACAACAGACTCAGAGGATCACACAAACACATATCTTCAAACAAAGCGTACGTTAGCTCGAAATGGAGCATATGCATTAGTCGGGTCGACTTCATCTCCCATGTTATCCTCTATTTTGTCACCTGTAGTTTCACTTCATGCAAAGATCGATGGAGGTAAGGGCGACATCCTTCTACCTGAGCTACATACAGCACCTGACCAAAGATCTATCTCATCCGGTTCTGTACCAAGTAACACAGGAGATAACCATGTGGATAACTTACTCGGAAGATTACCTCCACTTGGATTGTTACTTCCAAATTCTTCTATAACAACCAACACCTATGAATCTGAAGAGATTCAAGATATCTTCAAAGAAGAATGCAATAGCGTGACCATTCAAACAAGCTTCAAGGACAACAATGAGACAGAGCCTGCTGCAGGGAAACCGGATAATACCTTGTATATAGGAGGGTTGTTTGAGCTGTCAGGAAGGTACGTGGAGAATGGATATTCGGAGCTTGACGCCGCGCTTTTGGCAGTGGACCATATCAACGAGAAAGGATTCATTCCTGGTTACAGGTTACAGCTCTTGTTCAACGATTCTAAGGTAAGTGACACAGTTGTTTATTCTGTACTGTTGAGTTATGAGCCGAGAACCGTTATCAGAGCACACAGGACATTGCCATAAGCGCTTTGTTTTCTGCAGCAATTCCAGTGGTACCAGTAACAGTCTGACTGTATGCCCATCTTGCCGCTCTCCTGTCTGTTGAACGTCGGCCAGATCCCCAGGTCACTCCGCTCTGGAGCATTGTCCAGAGACATGATGATCTATTTGTGCCCTCCGCACTGTTTACTGTCTCCCAAAGGGCCGCCACACCATGTATTTTTTCACGCGTTAGTTTACCACCAAGTGTTGCAGATCCAGCCAATATATCTGCCAGTTCATTTCCCAACACGTCGGAAAGTCCTCACGAAAACATCCAAAACATAGTCAAGCTAGTTGTGTAACCTTTACAGGCGTTTACAAAGGCAAACCCAACATATGTTGGCTGTTTATGCGTTACTAGGCAATTTTATGTTGAGTAGTTTGCCATTGCTTACTGAACGATTGGCAAACTATATCTTTCTATTCTTTGTGTGCATCTTTTCAGTCTCGCAGCTGAGTTCTGATTATGCCACCAGTTCCAAACATGGACCCTTACTTTAACAACTGAGCAGAAGATCGTAACAACAGAGATGAGATGTCTCAGGAGAGCTGCCGGTGTGACGAGAAGAGATAAAATCGGGAATGAAGAAATTAGAAGAAAGACTAGGGCTTAAACCAGTCAAACAATTCATTAAAGAACTACAACTGAGGATAGTTTGTCCATCTGACGAGAATGCCCTAGTACCAACAGACACAGAGAGTCATGCTGAAGAAATATAATGAACACATGCAACGGAAAGACCACTCAAGAGATGGAGCGACGCCATCAGGAGCAACGTAACATAAATAAACACAAACTTGTACAATGCATTGGAAAAAGCGCACAAACGATCCTTACATCTGCCCCAACACCTCGCTGAGGTAAATGGGTTAAGAGAAGAAAAGAAGGAGGAGAAGAAGAAGAAGAAGAAGAAGAAGAAGAAGAAGAAGAAGAAGAAGAAGAAGAAGAAGAAGAAGAAGAAGAAGAAGAAGAAGAAGAAGAAGAAGAAGAAAAAGAAGAAGAAGAAGAAGAAGAGGAAGAAGAAGAAGAAGAAGAAGAAGAAGAGGAAGAAGAGAAGGAAGAAGAACAAGAAGAACAAGAAGAAGAAAAAGAAGAAGGAGAAAAGGCTGAGCTATCTAATCACAGTCTGTGTTGTGTTGTAACCAATTTTTCTTGGTTGTTCAATCTTTTAAACTATCATCTAATCATTATCAGTCAGCAGATCCTTTACAAAACGAGGCTCTTGTCACAGCACCAGGAAATCTCTCTATAACAAACTTCCCCATCCGTAGATGCTTTCATTGTCAATGCATTTTGAGAGTCGTGCATTTATCTTCGGGAAGAGTTGCCCCTACCTCGTTTTCGAGAAACTGTCTTGAAACGTCTCGAAAATGTCTTGAAAGAAATTGACTCACGAATAGAACTCATTGCCCAAACCAGAAGGAGACAATATACATTTTTTGGGTGGTCATATCATGAGAAGGATAGTACATCGTGACGGTAGGAAAGTTGGAGGGGAAAGGATGCAGCCGGAGACAGAGCGAGAGAACATGCTGGACAGTTTGATATCATTACTTGGAAGATCATCTGTGTCTGAATTCTCTGAAAGTACACGAGACATATGGTTGTGAATATACATAACTACAAACGCCACACGGCAGAGACTTAAGAAGAAGATTAACAAGGAGAAGAAGAAGAGGAAGAAGAAGATTCATTAGACTACCAAAGTAATATATATAACCTGAGCTATCACATGCTTGTGAAACATTGACAATAAATAGATAAGTTGAAAAACATCTGCTCGATGGAGAGATGTGGCTTTTGAGATAAAAACAAAGTACATAATGGAGGGATATAACTTCTAGTCATAGTGGTGATTCCCTACCCCGTTTTTTATTGGGGGTGGGGGGGGGGGGGTTAAATTGGGCCAATAACCACTTGACAAGCATGTCGTAAATAGCTACTATATAACGACTTGCTGAAATCTGCTATTTTGGGCCGAAAGGCGCAAATGTTGAAGCCTAGCTGTAAACCAAAACACAACACGTCAAGCGTCGTAATAGTGAACGGGGCTTAACAATTGTACAAAAGGCTTGAAATCAAAAGTGTAAGGTATGAGAGAAATTACAGTAATCATGCTATTGTCTTATAACCTGTAAATATTGTTGCTAAAAATGCCAAGAGTGCAAAGCACGCGACAAACACGGTGCAGCTGAATACGGTGAAGTCACAATGGCAGTTTAAATATGGCTGCACCAGTAAGACAATAGACAGAAAACTCTGCAACCTTCACGGCATAAACTGTTGGACAAAAGACATAAAACTTCATCTACCGAGTAGTGAATCCGTCAAAGAAGTCACTCCAGTTAAAGATTGTCCACCCCACTCACACATTTGCTAGGGCTGCGTGGTCTCGAGGCATGGATACAGCCTCGAGTGCTAAAGGTTCTAGGTGCAATCCCCGGTAAGGTCTAGGATTTTTTCACGTTGACTTAGACTTCTAGTAATTTCGCCTCGTCTATGGGCAGTGAGTACGGACGCCCGTGAGTATTGTTGCACACGTAACAAATCCCTTGGCAGTTAGAAATCGAAAAGAGCAGCCTAACAGCGCTGCCCAGGCAACATTTGGAGTTACAAATCTACCCAAAGTATTTCAAGATCCTCACCGGTGCTACAGAGCCTGTGCACTGTGCCGAGCTTCTTCGGACTGAGATTTGAGTTAGAAGAAGAACGGAGCACGTATGGGTTACTACCCTTGCGCCATGATGTTGAACCGTTGTTCAAACCTCAAACCTCAAACCTCACACAATTGCTGGACTGACAGGCATGAATCACCAGACTCCTACGACATGCTTGTTGAGGAGACAGTGGGTCTATTCTTGTTTCTCCCACAATTGGGCCCCGAAACCCACACAGGTATCTAGCCATTGAAAGCTAGCAGTTCACATCTGTACCCCTTAAGTACACGAAACTGTACAAATGATTATTCCCAAACAGTTACGAAAGGTTAATTTACCATTCCAGTGCTCAGAGGCCCCGACAGAGTAAAAAGTGCGAGGACATTGCCCTAGGGAGGCGATGGGTAATTGTGTGGGTTTGAAATAAAGGAGATTGGTGGTGTATGTGCTTGCGCAGTGTAAGGACATTAGACTGCTGGGCAAATCCTGGCAACATGTTTGTGCTTTCTTACTGTTTAAATAATTTTTAGCTACTTTTTCTTCTTCTTCCGTTCGCATGAAATAAATTGTCTATATCTGCAGTGTCTCTAGTATGAACTTCACTGTCTTTTGTAATTCACTCAGCGAGACGTAAAGTTTGTTGCACTGATGTTTCTCTTGGTCAAAAGTTTGACCTAGTTTGTTTCTTCTTTTCTTCCCATCCTTCCCTCTCCTCAGCCCAGTATTATTGTTTCACAGTGGCCGTTCAATCTTATTATATATCCGAACCATTGCAGTTTTCATCTTTTCACTGTAGTTAAAAGTCGTTCATAGCTGCTAAAACGCTTGACTGACTGACTTTCTACCCCACTAAAACATCATACAAGCGATAAACACCCGATGACACAATGTGCCACCATGTGGGTGAGGATCACCGTGGCAAGAGCCAGATTGGGGCTTCAAATAACGAAAAAATCACATCCTGAAAAGGACGGAAAGTTATTGAAAAATCAATCTAAAACGCTTGTTAATTATATGGCGAAACTCGTCATATGCGACAGACATATAGTGTAATTAAGGAATACCTAATATAAGTAAATTGTGTAATAAAGGAAAATGGGTATGTATGGGCATAAAAGAGTGTATATATGATGTGAGTATGAATTTTTTTTTTCATTATGCATATTTTTTTAATATAAACAAAACATGCATTATTGATTTTATGCTACTGGGGTCTGCAAGATGGGTGCTTTGAAGGGCCGAATGCAAGACGGGCCTGCGTGCCCAATTTATAACCGTTTGAAAAAAAAAAAGTTTGTTCGTTCATTCGTTCGTTTGTACAGAAAATTTCAAAAAATAATGGATGGCATGTACACAGCCCGGCAGTAGCCAAAAGACTGCAGATGAGCAGCACCAGATTTCAAAGAAAAGTCAAAGTCAAGAGAATCGACTTTACTGCACGGTGATTTACCTGTATGGCCCAGTCTCTCTCCGCTGAACTGCTAGCCGCCTGTCGATATCGTCACATAGAGCACGAACTCCACAGCTCGGACAATGATCCCAGTAATTGTGTAAAACAAAATTGCACTCATAAACTGAACGACGGAGCCGTGAAACGAATCCACGACATTCAGAGCTTGAGGTAAAAGGTCTGACCACATCGCCACGGAGATAACCCACAAAGAAAAGATATACATAAACAAACCCGGCAGCACGTGACAAAATAACCTATGATCAAACAGATCATATTTTAATAAATAATAGAAATGCCTCAAACATACACCAAGTTCGAAGCTATAGAGGAGCTGAGTGCGATAGCAACCAGTTTCTGGCTGGTGCAAAATTAAAAATAAAGCTCAACAGATCTTTCTATAATAAGCCGCAAAATTGACACTTCCAGTACAATAGAGAAAGGTTACGGGAAACACTATTGTCAGAGAAATTTGCAGGTGAAAACATAATATTAAGATTTTTAGAAAAATCCTCAAAGGAAAACCTTGACCAAACCTGGATGGATATTAATCATTTGATTCAAACTATCTCGCAATAATGTCTTGGTGTTTCAACCATCACCAGACAGTTAAAGTGTTTCAATGTAAATGCGAAGAAGCAGTCAGTAAGAATAACATGTCAAGCAGATATGGCTAATTGATACTAGCAACATACGACATGAATATGTGTGTGTATATATATATATATATATATATATATATATATATGGTCATTAGTAATAGTAGTAGTAGTAGTAGTAGTAGTAGCAGAAG